CAGGCTCGCGCCGCGTGGCTGCTCAAGCCAATCGAGGGGGTTCGAAAGGAAACCAGGAGGACGATGAAACTGAAGGAAGCTTCTGGGAAGGCGAGGAGGGTCAACAGAAAATGGACGAAATCGAGGAACTTAAAGCCATCCTTAGAGAGCGCAAGGCACTGGAGAAAGAGCTAGATGAAGCCGAAGAGGAAGCACGACGAGCCGCTGCCGCTGCTGCTGCTGCAGGAGGAGGGGAAGAAGCGGGCGGAGCGGGAGGATCGGCGGAGATTGGGGAAGACGGGTTGACCGCGGAGCAGCGCGCGGAGCGGAAGGCGGAGAAGCTGCGGGAGCTACTGGCGAAGCGGGCGCAGGAGCAGGCGGAGAAGCGGCGCGAGGCGGCGGAGCTGTTCGCGTTCGGGCAGCAGGCGTACGGGCGCGGCGTGTACGACAAGAGCGTGGCGATCCTCGAGCAGGCGCTGGGAAACGTGGAATTCACGTCGAAACTAGCCGGAGAGGTTAGTCAGTCGCATGCATATTGCTTGGCCTGCTCCATGAGCTGGACAAGAGCGTGGCGATCCTCGAGCAGGCGCTGGGGAACGTAGAGTTCACGTCGAAACTCGCAGGGGAGCTCAGTTGAGCTTCTGCCTTTAGTGCACTTTGCCTTGAGCGGGCATTCCCTTGAGCGCACATAGACTTCTGAGACATCTCACGACTGCACAAGAGCGTGGCGATCAATCCTCGAGCAGGCGCTGGGGAACGTGGAGTTCACGTCGAAGCTTGCCGGAGAGGTCAGTTGAGTTCCTGCTTGCTCCTGCGCCTCTTCTCCTGCCCCCTTTCCCCCACGCAGATCCAACTATGGCTGGCGATGGCCCACGATGCTAATGGGCAGCGGCCAGAGTGCCTTGCGCTGTATCACAAGCTGGAGAGCACCCACCCCATGCCCCCCTCCCCTTCCCCTCCCCTCTTCTCCCCTTATCCAGATCCAACTCTGGCTCTCAATGGCCTACGATGCAAATGGTCAGCGCCTAGAGTGCCTGGCGCTCTACCGCAAGCTGGAGAGCACCCACCCCATGCCCGCCATCCGCATGCCTCTCCCCCTGCCCCTGTCCTCCTGACTCCGAACTGCTCTTCCGTGCTGCTTCCATGCTCCTTCCCGTGCTCCGTCACCCCTGCCTGCCCTTCCCTCTGCCCCCGTCCCCCATTCCCTCTCCTCCCAAGATCCAACTCTGATGCCAACGGGCAACGCCTAGAGTGCCTGGCGCTCTATCGCAAGCTGGAGAGCAACCAACCCATGCCTGCTATTCGCATTCTCCCCCCTCTGCTCCTCCCCCTGCCCCTATCCAGATCCAACTCTGGCTGGCGATGGCATATGATGCCAACGGGCAGCGCCCTGAATGTCTAGCTCTGTACCGCAAGCTGGAGAGCAACCACCCCATGCCCGCCATCCGCAACCAGGCCGCTAACATGCGGTATATCGCGGAGGCGCCCAAGCTCAAGCTGTCCCCCGATGAGATCCTCAAAGTACCGATATTGGACAAGGACAACAACAGGTGAGGAGCGGTGGTGTGGGATTGGGTGAATGGGTTGAGAGCAGGCATACAGGCAGCCAGGCCGCCAACATGCGGTATATCGCAGAGGCGCCCAAGCTCAAGCTGTCCCCCGAGGAGATCCTGAAGGTGCCGATTCTGGACAAGGACAACAACAGGTACGGGCTGAATGGGGGTGAGGGGAAGAGGAAGTTGGGCTGGATGCATAGATTATACGCAAGCAGGCTGCTGACATGCAGTGCATTGCAGAGGCGCCCAAGCTGAAGCTGTCCCCCCGTTGAGATCCTGAAAGTGCTGATTCTCGGCAACTGGGTAACAACAGGTACGGGGTGAATGAGGGTGAGGGGAAGAGGAAGTTGGGCTGGATGCATAGATTATACGCAAGCAGGGTGCTAACATGCAGTTCATTGCAGAGGCGCCCAAGCTGAAGCTGTCCCCCCGATGAGATCCTCAAAGTGCCGTTACTTCACAAGGACAACAACAGGTGAGGGTTGAGTGAGGGTGAGAGCATCAATATGTGGGGGTTGGGTGCAAGTTTCTAAGCCCTCATCGTCCCCTCTCTTTTCCCCAGCCCTGGGTGCATGTGGAGTCAGATGGTTAGTGAGTGGCAGCCCAAGCTCTGGTCACATTTTTGTACAAAAAACATTCCCCATCCCCCTCCCAACCTCCCAACACTCCTCCCCCCACCTCTTGTTTCCCCAGCTCTGGGCGCACGTGGAGTCAGATGGTGACTGAGAGACGGCTCAAGGGCATCAAGATTTGGAAAACTCCAGCTCAAGAGACTAGTATATGGATGACCCCATGTCGTTCAACCCGACCGCACCTATCAACCTCTGCTCACACCCTCACACCCTCCTCTGTGCCACTCTTGCCCTCACCACGGTCCCCCACTCTCCTCGCATCCCCCCCCCACCATCTTTCACTGCCGACCCTCCCCATTGTCCACCCTTTCAACCCTCTCCCCCTCTCCCCGCCAGCTCTGGGCGCACGTTGAGTCAGATGGTAACCGAGAGACGGCCCAAGCTCTGCTCACACTTTTCCACTTAGAGGTCCCCTCTCCTCCCCCCTCTTCCCCCCCCCCACCTCTTCTTTCTCCAGCTCTGGGCGCACGTGGAGTCAGATGGTGACAGAGAGGCGGCCCAAGCGCATCAAGAAGCTAAAGAACTCAGGGTCGAGGGACTATATGGATGACCTCATGTCCTTCTGAACCACTTCACCTTGCACCCACACGTCTCCTCTTACCAGTGCCAATTCAACCCCTCATCACCGTTTCCCCTGCTCCCTTCCCGTCCCCCTCTCCCCCCCTCGCCTCCCACCCTTTCACCCCCCTCCTCTTCTCTCTCTCTCCCTACCCACAGCTCTGGGCGCACGTGGAGTCAGATGGTGACTGAGAGGCGGCCCAAGCGCATCAAGAAGCTCAAAAACTCTGGGTCGAGGGACTATATGGATGACCTCATGTCGTTTAAGCCGCCCAGGTGGGAGAAGAGCCCTTATTTCTGGGTGGCCTTCTCGGTTTGGCTCACCATGGTGGGTGTTGCTCTCATGTTCCAAGACTAGGGCTTATAACGAGGTAGTGTTATAGTTGATTTGGGTTGAGGGATCATATCGATAGATGACCTCAGCCATGTCGGTTGGACTTATGGTCGTTAGAAGGTACGGTAATTGATGTGATTCAAGCATGCAAGTTTAGGAACTAATACTTCCTACCTGTGGGACCACTTTTGTGCACATTGCACTAGTGTTACAAGGTCTTGGCGTGTAAAGAACAGTGATTTTATATTTAATGAATGCATTCATGGCTAACCAAAGAAGCGTGTCCCTATCAGCCAAAATGTTACCTATCAAGGACAGGCATGCAAGAAGGAGAAAATCATATGGTTGTATTATTGAAGAATTGGACTCAGACAAAAAATGCTATTCTCTATTCAATTTCGCTCTGCATTTATCGACGGTGTTTCATGTCGCGTACACTTAAAACGTTCAGGAATCCCAGGGTGCTGGGGATTCGGCCAGCTAGACACTTCTTTTATCACTCTTCCCAGCACATCGCATTAGGAATCTCGTAACGTGAGCCTCCTTTTTTACGTTCGCTTTTTGAGGCGTTTCATACATTTTTAAGTACTGGTTTGAATGGATGAGATATCTTGCTCATCTGAGTTACGATCGGAGGACGCAACAGATTCGCCGAGGCTTCATCAGCAGTCCGAGTTGGTTCGGCAGCAGCTTCGGTGCCAAGGCTTGGAGCCGTTTCGCGTAGGTCGAGTGTCCTCGGTATACGTGGTCCCAGAATACCTTTCAGTGCAGGAAGAGCAACTGTTGCTGTCACAGGTGAGCAGATTCACGCTTGCAAATCTACGTTTGCTGTCTTTCACTTTCGTGTTTACACGCTGACACCTCCTGCTGGCGTGCTGCCACGTCATCCGGCCATCAGGTTGCGTCAGCACCAGTCACGAAGTGGAAGAATGTCACTGGCAGAAGATTGCAGAACTGGGGTGAGCGGTTAGGAGTGGGTTGGGTGTAAGGGGAAAAGGGCATGGGATGGACGCGTTTTACATTGTGCCACTCTGCCGCCTTATGTCTGCTGCAGATTGTCGAGTCCTTTCTCCATAGTAGGGTGAACTTAAGTATATTATCTCTATCCATGCCTCCTTATGTCTGCTGCAGGCGGCGTGGTGCATGATAAGGGGCTGATAGCTCAACCGTGTGAGTGTGCTTTATATAATTGAGTGTGATAATAACTGGGTGGGTGTGATTCAGCCCACCCCTCGTTCCATTATTAACATCATTATTAACATCGTTATTAACATCGTTATGAACATCATTATTAACATCAGTATTAACATCATCATTAACATCATTATTAACATCGTTTGCCCCACGAGGCAAACGTCATCATCGTTCCTCTTCCATCCCACCTCTCTTTTCTTTCCAATTCTTGGTGACCCAGCACTGTGCCTCCAATTCCCCTGTCAGTATTTGTTCCCTTCTTCCATTGCCATCGACTACACCCTGTTTCTCGCTACACTGTCATTGGCCGTACTGACGCACCGGCTGTACTGACATCAATGCGTCCAGATTGGTCCCAGAACATACCATATAAGCACATTTACCGCATTTAACCGTACGCAAATGCAATTTTTGTTCTAGAAACCTTTGTGTACCGTTCCTCTGGAGTGCAATTGCCCGCCACCTACCTGGGGTTCGGTTGCAAGCACCAGATCGCTAGGGTCCAAGCACACGTACGCACTGTAGCCAGTGCTTCCGCTGGTGAGATAGGTGAGAAAGAGGGTGTACACAACTTCCCTCCCATCCCTACGTGCTCTATAAACTCCCACCTCTACGTGCTCTCCCATTCCTGCCTTATCTCGATCAGTGCCTCAATGGCTACAGAGCTTCACGTCTCGCCTCTTTTTGAGTCCACTCACAAACCTCCCATCCCTGCATGCCCTCCTGTTCATGTCGTATCTCGATCAGTGCCACAATGGCTACAGAGCTTCACGTCTCGCCTCTTTTTGAGTCCACTCACAAACCTCCCATCCCTGCATGCCCTCCTGTTCATGTCGTATCTCGATCAGTGCCACAATGGCTACAGAGCTTCACGTCTCGGCTCTCAGCTGACCTCAGCAGCGCCTTCCCCTCACCCATCAACCACGTGCTTGTGAATGAGTACCATGAGGGACAAGGCATCATGGTGAGTGGATTGCAGCAATGAGCAGCAGCAACTAGCACGAGCAATGAGCAATGAGCAATGAGCAATGAGCAATGGGCAATGAGCAATGAGCAGCAAGCAACTAGCATGAGCAATGAGCAATGAGGGGCAGGGCATCATGGTGAGTGGAGTGACAGGTGTGAGTGGAGTGACAAGGGTGTGAGTGGAGTGACAAGGGTGTGAGTGGAGTGACAAGGGTGTGAGTGGAGTGACAAGGGTGTGAGTGGAGTGACAAGGGTGTGAGTGGAGTGACAAGGGTGTGAGTGGAGTGACAAGGGTGTGAGTGGAGTGACAAGGGTGTGAGTGGAGTGACAGGAGTGTGAGTGGAGTGACAAGGGTGTGAGTGGAGTGACAAGGGTGTGAGTGGAGTGACAAGGGTGTGAGTGGAGTGACAGGAGTGTGAGTGGAGTGACAGGAGTGTGAGTGGAGTGACAGGAGTGTGAGTGGAGTGACAGGAGTGTGAGTAAAGGCCACGTCCTTCCCCTTTCCCATCAACCACGTGCTCGTGAATGAGTACCAGGAGGGGCAGGGCATCATGGTGAGTGGATTGCTAGTGGTGTGAGTGGAGTAACAATGTGAGTATTTGTTTGTCTTCCCCTCCGCCATCAACCACGTGCTCGTGAACGAGTACCAGGAAGGGCAGGCCATGATGGTGAGTGGAGGGTCAGTGGTGAGTACGAAAGGTGTGAATGGATTCCAGGCTCCATAAGAACCTCTCCAACGGATACATCATTGGTGCTGTGCTTGAAGCATCCTTTGCGCCATAAGAGCCTCTCCTTCCACCATAAGGACGATTTTTGAGGCGCCAAAAATAAATCGGTGCTGTGCTTGAAGCATCATTCGTGCCATGGAGGGAACCTCCCCTTCCCCCATAAGGACCCCCTTCCCTGTCCCTCCTCTCTCAACCCATCCACACTGCCTACTTAAAAGACGGTCCTTCCTACTTTTTATAAGCTGCCACATACTCCCTCTCGGCCCCCCTCTACCCATTCAGGTACCTTTCGCCCCTCTTTTTTCCTCCCGCCTTCCCCTCATGCCTCTCCCTCCTTTCCCTCTTCAGCCACACCAGGACGGCCCGGCCAACCTCCCCTGTGTTTGAGTGACTTTTGAGAATTTTCAAAGGCCTACCTCCCCTGTCTCGTCATGCTCTCCCTCGGCCTGCCTCTAATCATTCTTACCCATTTCTTCCTGCTCCTTCTCGTCTCCCGCCGCCAACTCCCCTCCCGCCGCCAACTCCCCTCCCTCTTCAGCCACACCAGGACGGCCCGGCCTACTTCCCCTGTGTGGCCATCCTCTCTCTTGGCCTTCCCGGAACCATGGCGTTCTCTCCACACCAGAGACTTCTGGAGGGAAGCAGTGAGAGCGGCAGAGAGAGCAGCGAGGGTGCTTGTGAGGCGGCTTTGGATTTGATGCACGCGCAGCACCAGAGGCTTTTGGAGGGAGGCAGGGAGGAGGTACTCGGTGAATCTGAGAGGGAAGGAGATGGGAACGATGTAATGGAACGAGAAGAGGCAGGCAAGAAGAATTCATCTGGCGATGCAGTGGGGATGAGGGAGAGTGTGGCTCTGCCCCCTCGCAGCCTGCTGGTGTTCAAGGATCAAGCTTACACAGGTGAGCTGGTGTGGGGAGAGGCAGGCGAGTGGGGTTCGTCTGGGGATGCAGTGGAGATGAGGGAGGGTGTGGCTCTGCCCCCTCGCAGCCTGCTGGTGTTCAAGGATCAAGCGTGTACAGGTGAGAGGGTGTGGTGAGAGCGTGTGTTTACCTTAGCCAATAGTAGCAGCTCTAGAGCTGCCTGGTTCTGATGTGTTGAGGGGGAGAGTGTGGCTCTGCCCCCTCGCAGCCTGCTTGTGTTCAAGGATCAAGCGTATACAGGTGAGCTGAACGCATGAAAGGGGAGGGGCCGGGGGTACAGGGGGGTAGGTAGGGGAAGGGTGAGTGGAGAGAGGGAAACGAACGAGGGGCAGATATGGCATGATAACATGGCGAAATGGCAAGCGGTGGCGAAATGGCAAGTGGGGTCTCTAGTATTACGAGGTTACTAGACCACTGTCTAATGTCAAGCATGCTGGGGAGGAGAGCGATGCATGACGAGATTGCGGATTGGGCAAAGACGGGAAAAAGATTGCGCATCGAATCGATAAGTGAGATGTCCTTATGTGCAATGTGTAACACCCTTTTGTTCCTTGTTTCGTTTTTGCACTGCCAGATTACCTTCATGCGGCTACGGCCTTGACGTCAAGCGAAGCTGTTTCGTCTGAATCTTCATCAAACAATCCTGTCCGCGTATCTTTGACATGTAGATTCGTGCCACGTACCATGAAAGCCGTTTTTAAGATGAGGTGAATTCAGAGTCATGGTCGGAAATATAAAATGTGAAGTTTGTAGAATGTGCTGGGCAGCTACTTCACCAATCCATTAAAAACATTACTGGGCGGTGCATCTACTCGCCTAACAGCAAAATAAAGCCGACTCAACTACAAATGAGAGATCGAAAACGAGGACGCCAAATCTGCCCCATTGATAAACTGCCATCAATCCATCCATCCATTCGGCATTCCCAGTGCTTCGTTCTGCTTCTGGCAAGCCTCTCCGCAGCGCGAAGACTGACACGGACTGGCCACAAATCTCCTCCAATGGCCTCTCTTCGCGTTGCTTCCGCCGCTCTTCTCCCGTCTCCTCCATTCCCCTGTGACCCTCGTGTCACACTTCCGCGCTCCGTCCTTTCGTCGCGCCTCACCTTCTCGCGACCATCCATTACCGCCTCTAGCCGCCACTCTTCCAGCGCGCAAACTCCCTCCACCACAACTCCCGCTAGCTTTGATCCCGTGATATCAGGGAATGAGATATCGTGCGCCAGTCCCTCTCGGGCCGTCATTGAGACTGCGAGTGTCACAACTCGGCGCGCGGCTTTAATCGCGCTGTCAGCGGTGATCGCGGCGCAATGCGCGGGCGAAAGAGGAGCAGCGGCCGCAGCAGCAGGGGAGGACGGGAAACAGCGAGGTCTCTCTGTCGAGCAAGTGAAGGTGTGACTGAAACGCGTATGATTGAATTGAGTGAACTAGGCGTGCATTCAATGGAGTGTCAACAGTGCTCCTCCTTCAGTGAAACAGCATGCTCAGCACGAGCTTACCACTAGTATTGATCTTCGGATAGTGATCGAAATGTGTGGTCAACGGAGTGTCAGCAGTGTTCCTCTCTCAGTGAAACATCATGGTTAGCATGAGCTTACCATGATTATTTATCGCTGTTAATGGCAGGATATTATCGCACGTGACATTAGCGAGGGCCAGTACTTTGTTACAGGGGACCTCACAGCCTCTATTTATCGCGATGACTGCAGGTGCGCAGATTTCTTTCCTTATCTGCACTATATTCCCTGAACCGACGGCGGCAGAGTGACTATTGAGGGAAATCATGTGACTGAAACGAACAAGCATTGTCAAGCAGCACGATGCCAATTGGACGAACACTTTGAAAACCCTCTGGTATAGCACCCCCCCCTCTTGCCTAATTCTTGCCGCAATTACGTTTCAGTGTGCTCGAACGGTTGAAATGGTAACGATTCCACAACTTCGGGATGTGATTTTTATCCAACTTCAATGCGTCTACCTCATCTCATCGCAGCTTGTCACACGCATGAAGATATACTTCTGTACTCCATACAAGCCTCCCTGTTGCAGGTTCAAGGATCCGACGAATGACACCTCTGGTCTGGCGCGCTACCTGGCTGCTGTGAGCATTCTCTTCGACCCGGCATTCTCCAAGCAGGAGCTGCTCTCCATTGCAGTCACCTCCGACAAATCAGTCACTGCCACGTGGCGGCTTGGCGGGTAAACTCGGGGGGGCAGCATGGTCCCATGCCTTGTTATGTCCGTTTCTGAAAATTCTTTGTCAGTCTAGGCCCAAAAACACACCGTTCTTTCTGCTTTCTCCTCTTTGCACCCACTCTCCTCTACCCCTCACATTCCTTGGTCTCCTGTTCACCCCCCTACCCAGCCACAACATGCCCCACTCCACCCCCGTGCTGATATCTTGCCTTCATCCTGCTGCTCATTGGTTGTCACGAATTTATGCAGATACCTCAAGTTCCCTTGGCAACCCAGGGTCGAGCCATTCACAGGTATGATCCGTGTATGTTGCTGCTTCATGCTTCACATTATTTTATGCTCAACATTTCGTACATTTGTGTGATTATTTACACTGTAGCACCGTTGCTTTGTTGTGCTGCTACTTACGCAGGTTCCACTGTATATGAGCTGGACGATAACAACCTAGTGGCGGTGCACAATGAGTCGTGGAGCATATCGCCCATCAGTGCACTCATCGAGACATTAACACCTACGTTCGGCCCGAAACAATAACAGTAGATTGAGTTTGTTTGATATATCCGATCCGAACCCGTCAACTGGTGAGGTGACTACTGATGAGACTCTGATTGATGTTGTGAAAAGTAGTTAATTTGTAGCATGTAGGGTTTTGATTGCTGCTGTTATATTTTGACTGGTTGACTCTAGCGAGTATTTGGATTTAGGACAAGCACTCTCGCCTCTCCCTACACCACCCGCACCAGCTGATCGGACAGGTCCTCCCTACCAAGTCCAGCCAGGGTCATTAAAAAAAACTAGATCAACTGTCAATTACCGTTATTTTCATTGCGTTATTCCTATCCAACCGCATTGTAGTGAGCACTAGGTCTGGTCGTATGCTGTCAGGCAAACCAGCATCAGCCAAAACGCTCCCCAAGACTCAACAGGGAGTTATTTTCGGGATTGCCGAGCGGAATAGAGCTGAGGTGATCAAATCACGCTGGGTTTGCACGCCAGCCCATTGGCTGATTTGATTGCCTGCTGCGTACGCGGTAGTAGATGCGCTGAGCAGCAGATGTGCTTACTAGCCGCACGTGCAACACCGGCAGGCTCGGAGTTTCCGAACCACTGACTAGGAAGGTAGCGCGTGCAGTGGGTTGTGCTCACCAGCCGCGCGTGGATTGCGCGTGTCTAGCTGTATTCGAAACGGAAGCGAAGCTGAGTCGTTTCTCACTAGGTGTGAGAGAGAACGGATGTTGCGTGCGGGGACGTTTAGGCGGTGTTCGTACAGCTTACCCTGTACAATCAGCAGCAGCTACAGGAGCTTAGAGCTGTGCTGGTGATTAAAGCCGTCGCGCCTGGAAGGATTGCGTCACTCGTTATAGACACAATAGCCGACTCTTGTTAGCACTCTCTCCGTCTCAGCCGTTCCAACTCAGAATTCTATAGAAATTAACCGCTGTTTCTAAAGGCAGAATCTTATAACGTGTACCGGGAGAGCAATGTCGAAGCAGCCGACTGCAGCGCTGCCGCCGTACCCGGATAGGTTCTACATCGCGGCTCGGTACGCGGCGATCCCGGGGACGGTGGACATTCCCGAGGGCGCGGGCAACTCCACTCAGTATTCCGACCTCACGTGCCTCGCGCTCTACTCGCTCTACCAGCAGGTGGGTTGGGTGGTGCATGGTGCATGGTGCATGGTGCGTCTTGCGTGGGTCCCCTGGTTGCGTGGCTGGTGGTTTGTCTGGTTGCATGGTTAGTGGTACGCGACAATACCGGGGACGGTGGACATTCCCGAGGGCGCGGGTAACTCCACTCAGTATTCCGACCTCACGTGCCTCGCGCTCTACCAGCAGGTGCGTTGGTTGGCTGTGGCCGTCTTCATGTCTCCCGAATCGCTCGCTTCCACTTCCCCTGCCTGCCCGCCTTGCCTTTCCTTTCCATGCAATGTTGCAGACGGTACGTGCGTGGGCACTGGGCCGTGCAATGTTGCAATGGCAGCCTGTGGCTGTTGTTTTGGTTCCTGAATCGCTTACAACCGACCTTGCTAACATCGCTCGCCTTGTTCTTTCCTTTCTGCGATGCAGGCAGTGCACGGGCCGTGCAACAAGCCCAAGCCATGGGTGTCGTGCTGTCTCTGACTCTCCTCAAGCCTTCGAGCCACACTAGCTAATGTCATTTGGTGCACCTCCCCCTTTTCCTTTCTGTGATACAGGCAGTACACGGGCCGTGCAACAAGCCCAAGCCATGGGCGTGGAACATAGTGGAGCTCGCCAAGTGGCAGAGGTGGGTCCTTCCATCCATCCACCCCATACATGATTGAGCAAATCAAACCAAAGCGCAAGGTCGGTGGGTTGAGATAGACGCGGACCATGCAACAAGCCCAAGCCATGGGCGTGGAACACCGTAGAGCTCGCCAAGTGGCAAAGGTGGGTGGATGGGTGGGTGGGTGGGTGGATCAGCCAGATCAAATGGCAAGGTTGGGGGGGTAAAGATAGACGTGGGTGGGCCATGCAACAAGCCCAAGCCATGGGCGTGGAACATCGTAGAGCTCGCCAAGTGGCAGAGATGGATGTGATTATAGCGAGAGGCTGGCAGGGAGGTTCTGTAGGAGGCAGTTGAGAGGAAAGTGCATACCCCTGCTGGTTTCTGGAAACGAAAATTGTACTCGCTCTCACCATCACTCACTCCTATCGCATGCTGTACCACCCCACACCCCACCCAACCCCCTCCTCCCCTCCTTCTCCCTCCTCCCCATGGTTCTCATTGAATTCCTCTTTCCGTCGTATCGTTTCATTGTCTCTCATTTGTCCTGTCTTGTCACTGGCAGTGCCTCTCTCACTTCCTTCTTCTCTCTCCCCCCTTGCTCACGCACACTGCACTTGGATGGACGGAGCTGAGGAAGATGGTGCCACCCACGCCACTGCAGGTGGCTTTCGAGTCGACCATAGCATTTTCCCCATTCTCCCCTTTGCGTTGCACGGTTACATTACAGTTGGACAGAGCTGGGAAAGATGGCGCCAGTAGAGGCCATGCGGCTGTTCGTGCGTGCTCTGGAGGTACGCATTTCTTCCTGGTCTCTTTGAACGAAGCCTGAAGCTGAGAGTTTGGGAGGTGACCATTGAGTCGACTCAAAAGTGCTGTTTGTGCTGTTCCTGCTACTTGAAGTCTGGAGCGAATGGTGTCGTTGCGAGCGATCGTTGCGACGTTGACCGTGCTGTTGCTTTAGCTCTCTCGGCGGTGCTTGTTTCTCTTTCTCTTTGCATATCCCTGCCTTTGCCAGGAAGTCTTATGATGGCTTTTGAGACGTCTCAATCAAAAGACCGTGTTGTTGCGTTAGCTCTCTCGGTGCTTGTTTCTCTTTCTCTTTGCATCTCCGCCTGTGCCAGGAAGTCTTATGATGTGCCTCCAAAGTCGTCTCATTAATCATGTTGCTTCTTGTGCCACAACACCTGTACGCATTTCTTCTTCTCCCTAACTGTCTCTCTGTCATGTGGCATGGGTAGGAGGAGGACCCAAATTGGTGGACCAACGCACAACTAATGGAAGCAACTGAATCGGTATGCATGTTCTTTTTGTTTTCCCTAACCTTGGGGGTGACTGCACCTGGTGCATTATTATGCCTTGGTTTGCTCGCCCCACCACACTTGCTCCACCACACTCCGCCCACCACACTCGTTCCACCACACTCAGTTTATTCTTGAGAGACCCTGAGTAGAGAAACTTTTGGAAACTCTTGTTCTGCACTTAATTTCTCCTCCCAATCTTCCTCCTTCCCCACCCCTCCGCCTCTGCAACTACCCCCGCCCCACAGCATGCAGCAGCAGCAGCAGAGGGGTACGGCAGGGGCTATTCAGAGGGCTACGCTGCTCAGGGCTTCCCGGCAATGATTGGAGAGCTGCCTTCCCCCGCCCCCCCCCTGTGGTGGAGGACATGGGGGTAAACTCTGCCTTTCATTTTCCTCCGTTCCCTACCCCACCTACCCACACACAGCATGCAGCAGCAGCAGCAGCAGAGGGGTACAACAGGGGCTACCTAGAGGGCTACGCTGCTGAGGGCTTCCCTGCTATGATTGGAGCTGCCTTCTCCCGGCCCCCCCCCTGTGGTGGAGGACACTGGGGTGATGGCAGTGCTGGTTGTTGAGGGGCCTGAACTCTGCCTCTCATTTTCCTCCGTTCCCCCACCTTTCCCACACCACAGCATGCAGCAGCAGCAGTGGCAGCAGAGGGGTACAACAGAGGCTATCCCGATGCCTACGCTGCTGAGGGTTTCCTGGCAATGAACGGCGCTGCCTTCCCCCGGGGCCCCCCTGTGGTGGAGGACATGGGGGTGATGGCAGTGCTGCGCTCACACGACTGCATCAACAAGTGGGTCGCTGCTCCCGTCACTGGGAGAAAACCGTTGGCCAGATACCAGGTGAGCTGTTTGTGCTGCTGCTACACTACTGCTGGGCTGGCCTTGGCCCTGAACCCCAGCCACCTCTTTCCTCGCGGCCCCCCTGTGGTGGAGGACATGGGGGTGATGGCAGTGCTGCGCGCACACGACTGCATCAACAAGTGGGTCGCTGCGCCTGTCACTGGGAGAAAGCCGTCGGCCAGATACCAGGTGAGGAAACGAGGCAGGTGCTGCTGCTGCTGTTAGCCTGCCGCTGGCTTGGCCCTGGGCCCCCCCTACCCTCTCCCCCTGTGGTGGAGGACATGGGGGTGATGGCAGTGCTGCGATCCCACGACTGCATCAACAAGTGGGTTGCTGCACCCGTCACTGGGAGGAAACCCTTCGCCCGTTACCAGGTGCGGAGATGCGGGAGGGGAGCACTTTTGAGGCGCCTCAAAAGGGAGGAAGCCTTCGGCCCGATACCAGGTGAGCAGATGCGGGAGGGGAGCTGGGGCAATGCGAGCACACCCCCCCCCCACTAGTAAGTTGGCAGCAGCAGCATGCTGCAGAATTCTGTTTGAAGGACGGGAGGACGTACATCAAGGAAGGGGAAATCTCCCTACCCTCTTTGCACCCTCCCTCCGTCCCCTCCCGCCGTTCCCCCCCCCTCCCGCCCCACCTCTCTATGTGTGCAGCAGAGATCCTGGATGGCAGGATGTACGTGGTGGGGGGCAACCGTGCCCGGTTCAACCGTGACGTGCATGTGATATAGTCCTCTCCCGTTTCCCACTTCTCCCCATTCGCTTTCCCTGCTTCACTCGCTCTTATATGCAGCATGCAGCAGAGATCCTGGACGGCAGGATGTACGTGGTGGGGGGCATCAGGGCCAGGTTCACCAGCGACGTGCATGTGCTGGACCTCTCTCTTTCCCCTTCTCAACCCCTCAACATCCTCCCAAACACCCCTCCTCCCTGTGTCTCCCTCTCTCTATGCGTGCAGCATGCAGCAGAGATCCTGGACGGCAGGATGTACGTGGTGGGGGGCAATCGAGCCCGATTCACCAGTGACGTGCATGTGCTGGACCTCGCTTCTCTCGCCTGGTCAAAAATGGAGCTGTCCTCGCCTGCAAACGCCCTTCCCCCCTGTGCTGGGCACAGCCTGGTGAGTGCATAAAGCATGTGTGCATGTGAATTTTATGTGACTGCACTGCACGGCACACACCAGTGACGTGCATGTGCTGGACCTCGCCTCTCTCGCCTGGTCAAAAATGGAGCTGTCCTCCCCTGCCAACGTCCTCCCTCCGTGTGCTGGACACAGTTTGGTGAGTTGGACATGCGTGTGCTGCTACCAAGCCACACACCAGTGAGTTTGAGCCTATGGAAGGATGGACACCAAGCCACACGCCAGTGATGTGCATGTGCTGGGCAGTGGGCACAGTTTTGTGAGTGCGTGTGTGTGTGTATATAACATACATGGAGTAGTGTGCGACGTACGTGTATGTGCTGGACCTCGCCTCCCTCGCCTGGTCCAAGATGGAGCTTTCTTCCCCTGCCAACGCGCTTCCCTTCCCCCCTGCGCTGGGCACAGCCTGGTGAGTGGGAACGTAGGGTGTTTTTGAGAATTCTCAAAAACACCGCTGGGCACAGCCTGGTGAGTGGGCACGTTGGGTGTTTTTGAGAATTCTCAAAAACACCGCTGGGCACAGCCTGGTGAGTGGGCACGTTGGGTGTTTTTGAGAATTCTCAAAAACACCGCTGGGCACAGCCTGGTGAGTGGGCACGTGTGCACATGCGCATGCATGTGTGCATGTCGTGATTCGTGTGCCGCTTGCTTGACCCGTGCATGAGAGGAGCTTCTCGACTTGACCTGTGGATGAGAGGAGCTTCTCGACTTGACCTGTGCATGCCTTTGTGCTCCCGGCTTTCGTGCCGCGTTGCCCCTCCACTCGCTCCTCCAGTCCAGTCGCGTTCCACTTTCTCCACCAAGCGAATCTGGACGAAGTGACTCTCCTGTGCATATGAAAGTTCGTCTGTGCCAAGCCTCTGTGCATATGAAAGTTCGTCTGTGCCAAGCCTCTGTGCATATGAAAGTTCATCTGTGCCAAGCCTCTGTGCATATGAAAGTTCGTCTGTGCCAAGCCTCTGTGCATATGAAAGTTCGTCTGTGCCAAGCCTCTGTGCATATGAAGGTTTGTCTGTGCCAAGCCTCTGTGCATATGAAAGTTCGTCTGTGCCAAGCCTCTGTGCATATGAAAGTTCGTCTGTCCCAAGCCTCTGTGCATATGAAAGTTCCCGACTTGGCTCCGAGGCTTCCCTATGCTCTCCTGTGTACCCCCTCTTCCGCCCTTTGCCAATGCACCGCACAGGTTATTCTAGACGAGGTGACTCTGCTGTGCATAGGAGGGTTCTTCAAGGATGGTGCAGAGAAAATGATAGGTGAGATGGGTCGAGATGGGTGAATTGGGTTGCAGAGGTCGCAGTGTCACCCCTCAGGATCTTTGGACGGCTTTTCAAGGATGGCACAGAAACGATGACACGTGAGGTTTAACGGCATTCTGGGTATATTCCTGTAACCTGTACTCGAAAGCATTCCATGTGACAAAGAGCCTGCAGAAGTTAGTTTCTGTGGCAAAAGTAATTATTCTGACTGACCATATTTTGTTTAGCTAGTTATAGAGCTGTTCTGCTTGTGTGTTGTTCTTCTTTCATCCCACGGCATGGCAGTGCGGGCATTGGATGTGAGCACCAAGACGTGGCGGGTGATGAAGACTCGCGGCCAAATACCCGTAAGTGCACACCCCACCCACAGCCCACAGCCGTGGCCTGTGGTAGGTAGGCATTGTGTTCCCTCTGGCTCTTGCGTCTCATGTCACGGCATGGCATGGCAGTGCGGGCATTGGATGTGAGCACCAAGACGTGGCGGGTGATGAAGACTCGCGGCCAAATACCCGTGAGTGTGCAGTGCAGTACAATTATGTTGGATTCTGTCTTGAGACTTTTCGGCCGTGTGGAGGGCACAGGATGGCCACGGTGGGGTTGAAGGTGTGGGTGTGTGACATGTCCTGTCCCTTTCACCCCCGTTGACCCCTGTCGACCTCTGTTGGCTCCTGCTGACCCCTGTTTACCCCCTTGAACCCCTGCAGTGCGCGAGGGGAGGGCACAGCACGGCTAAAGTGGGGTCAACGGTGTGGGTGTTTGGCATGCTTTTCTCTTGTCCCCTCGGACCACTGTTCACCCCTGTCAACCCCTGTTTACCCCATCAATCTGCTGCAGTGCGCGAGGGGAGGGCACAGCACGGCTAAAGTGGGGTCGACAGTGTGGGTGTTTGGTGTGTCTGTCCATTTTGACCGTTGTCAGCCACATTGCAACCATGTGTACCCCTGTATACTCCCTTGAACCCCTACAGTGTGCAAGGGGAGGCCACAGCACAGCCAAAGTGGGGTCGACAGTGTGGGTGTTTGGAGGGGAGGACAGCAAGAGGCGGCTGCTCAACGACGTATACAGCCTGGACCTCACTACATTCGTGTGGGATAAGCTCGACACCACGTGAGTGGGTTGTGGTGGTGATGGCTTGTTGGTGAAGGTGTGGTTCTACAGCAACAGGGTGGTATAAGTGTTTGCAGGGGAGGGGAGGACAGCAAGCGGCGGCTACTCAACGACGTGTACAGCCTGGACCTCACGACCTTCGTGTGGGACAAGCTGGACACCACGTGAGTGGGTGGGGGGGAATGAGATGAGTGCACGTGAGTGGGCAGTGGTGGGAAGTGCTTTAGAGCAACGATGTGTGAAGCCTGGACCTCACGACCTTCGTGTGGGACAAGCTGGACACCACGTGAGTGGGTGGGGGGGAATGAGATGAGTGCACGTGAGTGGGCTGTGGTGGGAAGTGGAGATGAGATGAGTGCACGTGAGTGGGCTGTGGTGGGGATGAGAGTTGGAGAGCAGGCTGTACAGGTGATGTCCTCGTGCCTGGTAAACTGCTGGTAAGGGGCAGTACCCTCACTCACCATCTAGCTCACTTCCCTGCCTTCTGCTTTCCGTGCCTGCTCTGGGCAGAGGAGCACCTCCTGTAACAGAGGGGCATCCCCTGTAACAGAGGGGCATCCCCTGTAACAGAGGGGCATCCCCTGTAACAGAGGGGCATCCCCTGTAACAGAGGGGCATCCCCTGTAACAGAGGGGCATCCCCTGTAACAGAGGGGCATCCCCTGTAACAGAGGGGCATCCCCTGTAACAGAGAGGCATCCCCTGTAACAGAGGGGCATCCCCTGTAACAGAGGGGCATCCCCTGTAACAGAGGGGCATCCCCTGTAACAGAGGGGCATCCCCTGTAATAGAGGGGCATCCCCTGTAACAGAGGGGTATCCCCTGTAACAGAGGGGCATCCCCTGTAACAGAGGGGCATCCCCTGTAACAGAGGGGCATCCCCTGTAACAGAGGGGCATCCCCTGTAACAGAGGGGCATCCCCTGTAACAGAGGGGCATCCCCTGTAACAGAGGGGCATCCCCTGTAACAGAGGGGCATCCCCTGTAACAGAGGGGCATCCCCTGTAACAGAGGGGCATCCCCTGTAACAGAGGGGTATCCCCTGTAACAGAGGGGCATCCCCTGTAACAGAGGGGCATCCCCTGTAACAGAGGGGCATCCCCTGTAACAGAGGGGCATCCCCTGTAACAGAGGGGCATCCCCTGTAACAGAGGGGCATCCCCTGTAACAGAGGGATATCCCCTCTGCCCAGAGCGGGCCACACGGTAACAGTGTACAACGAGCACTACCTCACCATCTAGCTGACCTGATGTCCCTCTTCCCTTCTTTTTCGTGCTGTTTTCGGCACAATCCCTTTCCCCAGAGGAACGCCCCCCCTGCCCAGAGCGGGCCACACCGCCACAGTGTACAACGAGCACTATTTGACCATCTTTGGGGGCGGCTCCCATTCCATGTGCTTCAACGACGTGCATGTGCTTGACCTAGACGCGGTAAGAGGAGGCTTCAAGAGGTAAGAAGGAATCGGGTGCCTTATTAGGTCGTGCATGTGCGTGTGCATGTGTGTGTGCATGTGTGTGTGCATGTGCGTGTGCATGTGTGTGTGCATGTGCGTGTGCATGTGTGTGTGCATGTGCGTGTGCATGTGTGTGTGCATGTGCGTGTGCATGTGTGTGTGCATGTGCATCTTATTAGATGTGGATGCGGTACGAGCTGCTGCAGGTGTAAAGAGGTATGAGTCGGTCTCACTGTACTGACCATCTGGTTTCCTCCCCTCCCTTCTTTGGGAGTGGCTCCCACTCCATGTGCTTCAACGACGTGCATGTGCTTGACCTAGACGCGGTAAGAGCCTAAGGTAGCTACTATCTTCTGTGTGATGTACATCGGGGTGCCAGCTGGGCGCCCTGTTCCCAGGGTGCTAAGCACGTGCTATCTTCTGTGTGATGTACATCGGGGTGCCAGCTGGGCGCCCTGTTCCCTCCGATTCCCGCCACGGCAACAGTGTACAACTAGTACTAGCTGTCTGCTGGTCTGCTAATTCTGTTTCCTCTTCCCACAAACCTCCTTTACTCCTCTCTGCTCTCCCCTCCTTTTGCCCGTCTGCTTCCCGCCAGGCGCAATGGTCCCTAGCTGAGACCTACGGCAAGGTGCCCTCTCCCCGTGCTGGCCTCGTGGGTGTGGCGTTTGGCAGCCTCTGGTTCATCATGGGGCTCTCTCCCCTCATCCCTCGCTCGTCTGCTTCCCGCCAGGCGGAATGGTCCCTAGCTGAGACGTATGGCAAGGTGCCCTCTCCCCGTGCTGGCCTCGAGCGTTGCATCGCCTGCCTCTCCGCTCAACCCTGCTCTCGCTTCTCTCGCCTCTTCCCTTGTTACCCAGGCCGAGTGGTCCCTAGCTGAGACGTATGGCAAGGTGCCTTCCCCTCGTGCTGGCCTCGTGGGAGTGGCGTTCGGCAGCCTGTGGTTCATCATGGGGGGAGGGGACAACCACGGGGGCGTGTCTGAGACAATGCTGCTGGATCTTGACTCGCTGGTGTGGTCTGTGGTTACCACATCGCTGGAGAAGACACCGCTTGCCTCAGAAGTGAGTGAGGAAAGAAGAGATGAAAAGTGTGGGTAAGGCAGGCAGACGGACAGGTGAAGAAAGGGTGGTAGCAGCAGTAAATTAAGAAGCGTGTAGTGAGTCGAGTTTTGAGTCGGCTCAAGGCCGACTCACTACACGCGGAAAAGTGTGGGTAAGGCAGACGGACAGGTAAAGAAAGGGTGGTAGCAGCAGTGAATTAAGAAGGGGGCGTGACGTGACTGAGACAATGCTGCTGGATCTGGACTCGCTGGTCTGGTCTGTGGTTACCACATCGCTTGAAAAAACGCCTCTGGCATCAGAGGTGAGTGGAAAGAGGGTAGCGGCATGATTTACTGTGTGGTTACCATGGTCCATGGTTACAATGTCACTCCACCTTTGGCATCCGAAGCGTGTGGAGGGGATGGGGTGGATTTGTTACAGTCTATTGCTCAGTAAATTTGCTGGCTTCAGAATCGAGTCAAGGAAAAGATTGTTTCATTCACTTCTTTCCTACCCCTTCTACTGTACGATTTTCTCCTGCCCCCAAACTTCTCTCACCCTTCTCAACCCTACTAAACACCCACCCACCCAGGGTCTGTCGGTGGTACCTGTGGGAACATCGCTCGGTCCTGTGCTTGTAGCGTTCGGGGGCTATAACGGGCGGTACAATAACGAGGTTTTCCTGTTGCTCCCCGACACTGCGGCGCTGCTTAGAGCAGCAGAGGAGGAGGAGGAAGCTGCAGCGGCCGCTACAACCGCCGCCGCTACAACCGCTGCAACAACTGCTGCTGCTGCTGCTACAGATAATGCTGCTGCTGCTGCTACAGCCACTGCTCCTCAACCACCCCCCTCAGCAGCATCTGAAAACAGCAATTCTCAACCTGCTGATTCCGTCACTGCATCCTCAGCTCCGGCAGCAGGTTCGGTGGCAGGTTCGGCAGCAGGTTCGGCACCTCCTCCTTCCCTTCCCTCTGGCGCTGCTGCTGCTCTTGGCCCCACTCCTTCCGCACCTGCTGCTCTACCCCCTCCTCCCGCACCCACTACTGGAATTCCCCCTGCTGCTATGGCCGCTGGGGGCAAGCAGATGGTCCGAGCAGGATCGGCATCCAATATCATCGGTGCCGCCCCTCCAGGTGGAATCCCAGGTGGAATCTCAGGTGGAATTCCAGGTGCTGCTGCTGTTCCTGTGCCTGGGCACGGGCCGCCGTTGCCAGCAGGAGCAGGGGCGGTGGTGGGGGTGGAGGATGGAGGGGAGCTGTCCCCTACGTCGAGGGATGCGGTGCTGCTTGCTCAGTTGGAGGAGGCAGAAGCAGCCGCAACCAGAGCAGAGAAGGTGGCACTCAATGTGAGTAAATGGGTGCATACATACCAGGTCTTACTTGTCGTTAGCAGGAGCGTTAGTGGGGGTGGAGGAGGGGGGGGAGCTGTCCCCCACGTCGAGGGATGCGGTGCTGCTGGCTCAGCTAGAGTAGGCAGAAGCAGCCGCAACCAGAGCAGAGAAGGTGGCACTCAATGTGAGTATGAGCACTCAATGTGAGTATGAGCACTCAATGTGAGTATGAGCACTCAATGTGAGTATGAGTACTGAGTATAAGTATGAGTACGTATAATGTCATAGTTGTCAGCAGGGGCGGTGGTGGGGGTGGAGGAGGGGGGGGAGCTGTCCCCCACGTCGAGGGATGCGGTGCTGCTGGCTCAGCTAGAGGAGGCAGAAGCAGCCGCCATTAGAGCAGAGAAGGTGGCACTCAATGCGAGTCTCTCAAGTCGAGTGTCAAGGCCCAGTTTTTGCGTGCTTAAAAAAATGACCTTCTTGTGGACTGCTGAGACGATTTTTGAGTGGACTCAAATATCGTCTCATTGACCTTCTTTTGGCCTGCTGTCAGCCCAGTCTACATTGCTGTGGCAGCCAAAGCTTCTCTCTTGTCTTTTCTGTGCTCTCTCACGATAATCCGTTCCGTTTTCCACATCCTCCTCCCCCTCTCTCTCCCCCAAGCGCGGGCTGAAGCAAGCCAAACTGCTGCAGAGGCACGGGCGGATGCATGGGCTGCCTATTCTTCAGGTGCCTCAAAGATAGAATCCCCCTCCTCCCCCATCCCCCCACCACTGCTCCCCCAGGCGCGGGCTGAAGCAAGCCAAACTGCTGCAGAGGCACGGGCGGATGCATGGGCTGCCATTGCTAAGGTAAGCACGTGCAAGTGGAATTTCGCACTCTCTCCCTCGTTTCACCATTGCCAAGGTAGGCATCTGTAGCATCCCTCGTAGCATCTCCCTGGCGCCAGGCCAGCATGGAAGGCGAGGTAGACCTCCATTCAGGAGGTCGTTTTTGAGGCGCCTCTAAAACGACCTCAATGCATCTCCCTGGCGCCAGCATGGAAGGCGAGGTGGACCTCCATTCAGGAGGTAGACCTACTGAAGCAACTGCTGGTGTTTTTGAGACGTCTCAAAAACACCTCCATTCAGGAGGTAGACCTACTGAAGCAACTGCTGGCTACGTCACTGACGGCAAATCCCTTCCCCTTTCCCTCTGCTCCTCCCCTCTTCCTCCCCTCTTCCTCCCCTCTTCCTCCCCTCTTCCTCCCCTCTTCCTCCCCTCTTCCTCCCCTCTTCCTCCCCTCTTCCTTCCCCTCTTCCTCCTGCAGGCGCAGATGGAGGTGGATCTGCTGAAGCAGCAGCTAGCAACTGCCATCAAGGCGAAGCAGACAGATGGAGGTTTTGCTTACCCTCAACACACTCCCCTCACCATCCCCTCTGATCCCTCCCCTCTTCCTCCCTTCATCCCTCCTGCAGGCGCAGATGGAGGTGGACCTATTAAAGCAGCAGCTAGCAACGGCCATCAAGGCGAAGCAGACAGATGGAGGTTTTGCTTACCCTCAACACACTCCACTCACCATCCCCTCTGCTCCCTCCCCTCTTCCTCCCTTCATCCCTCCTGCAGGCGCAGATGGAGGTGGACCTATTAAAGCAGCAGCTAGCAACGGCCATCAAGGCGAAGCAGACAGATGGAGGTTTTGCTTACCCTCAACACACTCCCTTTGCCCTCTGCAGGCGCAGATGGAGGTGGATCTGTTGAAGCAGCAACTAGCAACAGCCATCAAGGCGAAGCAGCAGGCGGAGGATGAGATGGCGGAGGGGCAGGCCAAGGTGGTGGCGGCCCAGGCTGCCTCCGCTAGCGCGCAGGCAGAGGCAGGGCAGATCAGGAAGGACTTGAACGATTGCAGAATAAAGGTGAGAACTTGGGAGTGGGAGGGGTCTTTGTCCGGTAAGAGGCATGGGGTTAAAGGAGGCGGAGGATGAGATGGCGGAGGGGCAGGCCAAGGTGGTGGCGGCCCAGGCTGCTTCTGCCAGCGCGCAGGCAGAGGCAGGGCAGATGAGAAAGGACTTGAACGATTGCAGAATAAAGGTGGGTGAGGGATGCGGCGGGTGAGTGGGGAAAGGGGTTCTTGTGTACAAGACAGGAGGTCAAAGGGCGGAGGATGAGATGGCGGAGGGGCAGGCCAAGGTGGTGGCGGCCCAGGCCCAGGCTGCTTCTGCCAGCGCCCAGGCAGAGGCAGGGCAGATCAGAAAGGACTTGAACGACTGCAGAATAAAGGTCGGTGGTTGAGGGTGGGAAGCAGGCGAGAATAACTCAACAACAACTCGTGTCTGTACAAATGTTACCACCCATGGTCACCCCACAGGTGCATGAGCTAGAGGCGGAGCTTGCCATGAAGTTGGGGGCGGATGGGGGGATGGGGGGATGGGCGGATGGGGGGATGGGGGGAAATGACCTTATTGATCGTGACTGTGCCAATCATGTATCTACAAATGTTACCACCCTTGCTCACTCCACAGGTGCACGAGCTAGAGGCTGAGCTTGCAAAGAAGTCGGGGGCGGATGGAGGGAGATGCCTCCGTACTGAGCCATGACTGTCTCAAATTGTTTCTTTGTCCATCATGTATTCACATGTGTTACCACCCTTGCTTACTCCACAGGTGCACGAGCTAGAGGCGGAGCTTGCAAAGAAGTCAGGGGCGGATGGGGGAATGGCGACGCTGCAAAAGGACTATGCTGCTGTGAAGAACGCCCTGGCTGATATGGAACAGGTGGGATGTGGTGGGGTGTGGTGGGATGGGACGCGGTGGGATGTGGTGGGGCGTGGGATGGTGGGGACATATTGGGTGGATGCAAGGGGGATGGCGGCACTGCTGAAGGAATATGCTGCTGTGAGGAACGCCCTGGCAGATATGGAACAGGTGGGATGTGGGGCAGGTGGGATGTGGGATGTGGGGTGTGGGGGAGTAGGATGTGATTGGGTGGGTTGAGGGAGGAGGGATGAGGTATACAGTGGGAACATTTTGGGCTGCCCCTGCCTGCCCAATATTGGGGCAGGGAACATATTGGGTAACCGCGAGGGCCGCCCCTGCCTGCCTAATATTGGGGCAGGGAACATATTGGGTAACCGCCCCTGCCTGCCCTTCCCCCTCCCAAAGCAGGAACTGACAACAGCCAGAACCACCCTGGCCGCAGAGTCTATTTTTGAGGTGCCTCAAAACGAGGTGACTCTGCGGCCAGGGTGGTTCTGGCTGTTGTCAGTTCCTGCTCTGGCTGTTGTCAGTTCCTGCTGTGTGTTTAGTCTGCCACATCCACTTCCAGCCTGGCCACGGAGCCTATTCTTTAGGCTGGAAGTGGATGTGGCAGACTAAACACACACCCCACCCTACCCCACGCGCACCCCACCCTGCCCCTCTGATTCCACTCCCAACCCTACCAGGAACTCACTACTGCGAGAACAGCACTGGCAGCGGAGCAGGCAAGGTGTTTCTGGCTGGAGGTGGAGGTGGCAGAGTACCGGCAGCGGCTGGCAGGCATGGCAGATCTGGAGAGGGAGGTGGAGCTGCTGCAGCCTCTCCTGCACACATTTAAGCCCCATTTCACTCAGTTTTACTCTTTTTACTCTGTTTTTTTTCCTGCTCCCCTTACCCCAACCCACCCGAACCCTATCAGGAGCTGACGACAGCACGTACCACGCTAGCAGCCGAACAAGCACGGTGTTTCCGGCTGGAGGTGGAGGTGGCAGAGTATCGGCAGCGGCTGGCCGGCATGGCGGATCTGGAGAGGGAGGTGGAGCTGCTGCAGAGGCAGCAGGCTGCTGCTGATGCCATGGCTGCTGCTGCTGCCGGCAAGGGCAAGGGCTGGTGGGGAGGGGGGAGGTGACAAAATGTGGTAGAGGAGTTGATGTAATGTGGGAGGGTAGGTGGGCAGAGGGGGAGGTGATACAGTTAGGAAAGAAAGGCCTGGTCTGGAGGGAGGTGGGAGTGATATGATGATATAGTGCCTCAGAAACTGGCTGGCAGGCATGGCGGATGGGGAGAGGGAGGTGGAGCTGCTTCAGAGGCAGCAGGCTGCTGCTGATGCCATGGCTGCTGCTGCTGCTGCGGGGAAGGGAAAGGGGTGGTGGGGAGGTGGGAGGTGATTCAGAGAGGGAGGGGGGGGGTGATTGGGAGGGGGAAAGGCTGGCTGGGCATGGCGGATGGGGAAAGGGAGGTGGAGCTGCTGCAGCGGCAGCAGGCTGCTGCTGACACCATGGCTGCTGCTGCTGCTGGGAAAGGCAAAGGCTGGTGGGGAGGGGGCAGGTGATTGTGAGGAAGGGATAGTTTGGAAAGGGGAGGTGACCTGGATGGGAAAGGGCTGGTTGGAAGGGAGGATTTGGAGAGGGAGGTGGAGGGATTGGGAGGAGGGAGGTGATTGGGAGGAAAAGGGGTAGGTGGCTGCTGATGCCATGGCTGCTGCTGCTGCCGGCAAGGCCGAGGTGGTGGTGGGATGGTGGAAGGTGGTGACTAAGGGGAGGTGGTTGATAGAGAGGTGTGAGTAAGGGTGCTGAAGAGGAAACGGACGAAACGGTGTGATGAATGTGCTAATATCCTTAAGGGGAAAAACCGTAGGGTAATTGTTGGCAATGATGATTGGTGGATTCAAGAACAGGAAGCAAGTCCTGGATTGCCTATTTTGGTAAATTGGCAAAATAAGTAGTACCACACCCATGTTTTAGGAAACGAGATACGGTACTGTAGCATTTTACAAACTTGAAAAACCAATCACATTCGCCATGAGCTCCTGCCCAAATTAGGGTAGTTTCCTGAGGAGACACTTGTGTCTCAATCCCCATTTTTCCGAGTCACAAAACATGAGTGTACACCTGATGCTTGTTAGAGCCCCTCTCGGTTGCCTTGTGAACTGGGTCTGTAAGCTAAACCTGCATTTCGCGGGGCATTCGTGAATTTCGTCAGGCGTCCAGCGTGCTTCAAAACTCCACATGGTAACCACCCAGTTTGTCTGTTTCGCAACAATAAGGGGTTGCAGCATTTGTCCCTAATGTGTGTTTAGGGTTACTAAACGAACGCTACAGTATTGAAACAAGCATGCACAACAATTGTTCTTTGTAGTACAAAACAGTCAAAACACAAACACCTTCCAATCAACATCCTCCACCTGGCCCCTCATTTCCATTCAACACACAAAACGAAACACGCACAAATAGGCACAAGGAGTGAACACTTGGGCTCTCAGCAAAATGCCTTCGACACCTTGCGAAGTCTGCTCCACCCCCCCCTCACAGACGCATCCACTCAGCCGCGTCCACATACCCGTCCATCACGGCGCCCACACCGGCGTCAAACAGCTCCTGACGGCGAGACGGACGGGTCATCCAGCCGGGCAGCACACGGCCGCGCGGACGAGGGGTCTCGGGCGTGGGAGTTGCTCCCGGGGAGGGTACGGGCTGAGGCACCATGTTGAGGTTGAACGACGGGCTCGCCCGCTCCATCCGCGCGATTATGATGGGGTTGCGGATATCGAACAGATGGCACAGATCGCGCGGCGTGATGCGGGTGGCCCGTGCATATCCAATGAGCATCTCGCATGCCGCCCGTGCAGTGCGCCGCGCTTCGCGGCACACGTGAGGAAATTAGAACGAGAATGAATGCAGTGTGAAAGAGTTGGGTACAAGTGCTAACCCTAATTGGGTTGTACCCCATATAGGCTACCCCACTACAGCCTACACAAAAGCATAAGCTATAATGCTCTGACACACCCCCATAGGCAAAGTGGGGGAGTACAAGGGGTCACAAGACCACTCAAGCAAAGCAAAGCAAAGCAAGCTCAGGGTGGATCACAAAGTCACCACACATTCCGAGCACAAGGTCAAGGGCACAAGGCCAGTTCACATGCAGGAGTATACAAAAGGCTAGACAAGCAAGAACACGTGTATATATATATATATGTAACAGTACAAGCAAGGTCAAGAGGTGAGCGAGTGAGGCAAGGCAGGCACAAGACCCAGCAGAGTACAGAAGCGCTGATGATCACAAGGCGCAACCGCCTTGGTGAAGATATCAGCAGTGTTGGCCTCAGAGGCCACGTACGCAAGACGCAGCTGACCACGCTGCTGCAGCTCACGAGTAAGGAAGTAGCAAAGAGCAATGTGCTTTGTTCTGTGCTCCAGTCTCTGCTCTCGACACAAGGCCAGCATGGCCTTGTTGTCTACGTATAGCACTGGAGGAGAACGAGGCACCTCTCCAAAGTCAGACAGCAGGTAGGTGAGCCAACGAAGCTCCTGTGCAGCCATGGCCCCGGCGTAGATCTCAGCCTCACAGCTGGAGCCAAGAACAGAAGACGAGCGAGTAGCCCGCCACGAAACAGAGCCGGAACCAAGACTGAAGGTGTAACCCTGGGACGGCCGCTGAGTAGCCTGGTCGTCCGCCCAAGAAGCGTCTATGTGCCCAGTAAGGACCACTAGACTCCGCCCTCCAAGCACAAGCCCCATGCCCGACGTACTGCACAAGTAGCGCAACACCCTCTTCGCTGCAGCCATGTGCTCTGGTCTGTGTCTCCCAGGAGCAACATAGCGTGCGAGAATGCTAAGAGGGTATGCAAGGTCAGGTCGAGTGCAGGTCATCAGGTACATGAGGCAGCCAACAAGCTCTGGGTACGGGCCACTCGACTCTACGGACTCATCCGAAGGCAAAGCTGAGAGCAAGTGGCGATTAGGCAGAGGAGTGGCCTGAGGCGAGGAGTACGTGAAGCCGAAGCGCTGAAGGACCTGCTACACAATGTGTGACTGAGTCAGGGTAATGGTGCGGCGTGCTTTGTCCCGGGTGATCTGCAAGCCAAGGTAGCATCACAGTTCACCCAGGTCTGTGCACGTGTGTCTCTTCTGCAGCTCGGACTTCACGTAGGCGAGTCCAGCAGTGCCAGCTGTGGCAAAGACCAAGTCGTCGACGTACACGAGGATGTAGAGCGGCGGCAAAGAAGTGTCATTGCGCAGAAACAGCGACGGGTCGGCAGTAGAAGGAGCAAACCCAAGAGCCGCAAGTGTAGTCCTCAGTGTGTCGTGCCACTCACGGGGTGCCTGGCGGAGACTGTAGACTGGCCGCAGGAGGCTCCACTGGGTGCCAGGAGGAAAAGACCCAGTGAAGCCAGGTGGGCGGCGCAGCCAGATCTCCTCGTGCAGGCTGCCCTGCAAGAAAGCTGTGCTGAAGTCAAGAGAGTGAAGCTCGTAGTCACGGTGAGCAGCTATGTGCAGCAGTACCCGAAAAGTAGTCATCTTCGGGGTGGGAGAGAAGGTCTGAAAGTAGTCAACTCCCTGCCGCTGACTGAAGCCACGAGCCACGTAACGCGCCTTGAAGACAGACGGAGAAGCCGGCGGCCGCTTCACCCTGAAAATCCACATGCCACTGACGATGTTCGCCCCAGGCGGGGGAACCTCGTCAACGTAGGTGCCTGTGGACTTCTAGGAAGCCATCTCTGGGTCCATAGCTGCCTGCCACTGAGAGGAGTAGGGACCCTCTATCGCCTCTGCGTAAGAGCGCGGAGTCGGGATGTCTAGTACATCCGGGTCTCCCTCAGGGGTAAGCAGTACGGACACGAGATGAGGTGAAGCAGCAGCCAGACACTCGAACTCCTCCTACCTGTCCTCAAGGACATGTGTGCCAAGGGCACACTCACCCCCGACGGACGGAGGACAGACAGACTCAGACTCAGCAACAAGACTGGCGGCGTAGTCTAGGCGACAGCGAGCAGCAAAGTCGACGAGCTCAGCAACTAGAGTAGACGCAGCAGTGGACTCAAAGGAAGGGTCAGTGACAACAGTAGCAAGAAGACGCGTGATAGTAGGAATGGCAGCACGAAGAGAGTCCGACTCCAGGTCGGCAAGAGCAGGAAGAGAAGACTTAGGAGGAGAAGGTAAAGGGGCACGCAGAGGAGCAGTGGACGGACGCAGAGACATCCGGTGCGTGCCAGGGACAGAAGGAGGACGCTGACGCGAACCGCGACCACTAGTGCGAGCATCACACGCAGGCGATGCAAGGCGAGACGGATGCCCACGACGCTCAGCAAGACCTCCAGTAGGACCAGTGTAGGGAGACGGAGCAGGCAGTGGGGAGGCCGGCTGTAACTGTAACTGTGACGGGTTAGGCTGTGGACACTCTAAGGGAGGAGGAGGACCAAAAGAAGGCGGGAGACCAAGAACCTGCTGAAGGAGCGGAACAAAGTACAGCCGAGGCCGCGCGGCGACTCCAGACACAGCAGGGACAGCACCAGTACCCCCAGCGACAGCACCAGCACCAGCAGCACCTCCAGCTCCAGTTTCTCCAGCAGCACAAGTAGCACCCCCAGCAGGACCGCCTCCAGGACCGACAGCAGTAGCCTCCGCGCTAACACCCGCAGCAGCTCCAACTCCAGAAGTACCCGCAGGCCCACCAGCTCCAGTACTCCCAGTAGGAGCACCTCCGGGACCCGTGGCACCAGCACTCTCAGCAGTAGCAGAACCTCCAGTACCCGCAGCACCTCCAGCTCTAGCAGCTCGCCTCCAGCGCCGGGCAAACCACTCACGCAGCTCCTGTGGAGAGAGTGGCTCCTGGCGAGACGAAGCACCCGGAGAACCGCCAGGCACAGCACCGCCAGACGCCACACGAGCAGGCCCAGCTCCCTCAGGCTTAGCACCTCCAAGCTCAGCACCTCCAGGCATAGCAACCCCAGGCTCAGCACCCCGAGGCTTAGCACCCCCAGTCTCTGCACCCCCAGGCTCAGCACCCCCAGGCTCAACACCCCCAGGCTCAGCACTCCCAGGCTCAACACCCCCAGGCGTAGCACCCACACGCTCAGCACCCCCAAAGTCAGCACCCCCAGGCTCAGCACCCTTAGTAGCACCAGATTCACCAGCGACCTCGACAGGCTCAACAGCGTCTACGTGGGACACACCTGAAGGGGCAGGACCATGAGGGGGTAGGGGGTCTACCGGGGGGGGACCTGGCACAAGGAAGAGCGGTGGCGGGGGGAGGGACGGAGTGCGGTAGGGGAAGAGACGGTAGTAGAAGACCGACTCGTCGAACGTGACGTCATGGGAGGACAGAACACGGCGAGAGGTGGGGTGGTAAAACTGCCACCCTGGGGCGTCAGGGGGGAATCCCAGGAAAACGCAGGGAGCAGCACGAGGGGACAACTTGTCCGCAGACAAGTCGCGGACAAACGCCCGAAATCCCTAGACACGGAACGCAGACGCATCGCCAACCTTCCCCGTCCACAGCAAAGCTGGGGAGGTCTCCGGCATGGAGACCCTGGGCTGAAGGTTGATCTGATGCGCCGCGTACCGGACCGCAAACGGCCACAGAAAATGAGGGGCAGCAGCATGCATCATGGACGTACGGGCGACGTCCATGACCATGCCAATGCGGCGCTCAGCAATCCCATTTTGCTGTGGAGAGTCCGGAAGCGTGAAGGTCTGGCGGATGCCTCGTGCACGACAGTAGGCTGGAAGAAAGCCAGAAGAGAACTCTCCGCCTCTGTCAGAGTGCAGACGCAGAACAGGAAAGTCCGAGCCGAAGCTCCGCCTGAGCTGGAAACGAGCCGCGCGGATCCAGTCGATCAACACCTCAGTGACATCACCCTTGTTGCGCAAGGGGAAGACTGTGGTGTAACGCGAGTAGTCGTCAACCACCAGCAAGAAGTAGCGCTCGTGACCCTGTCCACGGACGCGGGCCGGGGCCCACACGTCTATGTGAAGCGTCTGCAGCGGGGCCTCTGTCGGAGGAAACTAAGAGGAGTGAGGGGCAGCCCGCTGCCGCCCCTCGACACAGGGAACGCAGGTAGGGCTAGGCCCCGGAGGAAGGGGAGGGAGGGACCGGGGAAGACCAGAGACAAGGACACGGGAGGCCATGCTTCGGAGACGAAGCAGGGAGGGGTGACCAAGGCGGTGGTGCCAGAGGAGAGTCTCGTGAGACAGGAGACCACACGAGCAGGGGGCAGACTCAGGACCGGACCAAGACGCTGCAGCAAACACTTGACCCGACGCAGCTATCTAACCAGACGCAGTGACTGGAGGAGACGCAGTGGTCAGCGTGTACAGGCTCGACCCCGGCCGACGTGTAAACGTGGCCAGGTGTCGGCCTGTCCGAGCGTCCGTGCAGTGGGTCACCCGCTGACTCGCAGGAGTGAACTGGTGAACCTCCGCATCTTGTAGGTCAGCACCACTCACCAAGTTCGTAGAGAACGAGGGGAGGTAAAGACCAGACAGTGTGCCAAAGGGGGCCGCCGGACACGGGAGGACAGTGGAGAAGTGAGCAAGGACAGGAACCCCAGAAGGGTCTGCCAGAGAGACTGCAACTCGCCGACCAAGCGGCGTGAGTGTGGTGCGGTCTCGAAAGAAGGAGCGGGTCAAGAGTGAAGGTGTGAGAGGCCGGAGCCGACGCGGTACCTGAGAGAGCAGACTCACCCGCACCTGAGGAAGCAGACTCACTAGCACCTAGAGCAGCAGCCGCACCTGTATGTGGAGCAAGAGACTCACTAGCACCTAGAGCACCAGCCTCACCAGCAACTAGAGCAGCAGGCTCTATACCCGGGTCACGCGGTACGCACAGGTGACCGGCACGGTCAGCACTAGTAGGCAATGCATACATGGCAGTGAGAATAGCATCATAGTCAAGAGCAAATATATCTACCCTCTGCCTAAGCAACTCCACCCAGTCGGAGCTCAGCCTCGTCGCCAAACTCGGTACGCCAGGCGTCGCTGAGACGGGCGAAGCAGCGGGTTTGTGTGTGACTAGGTGTCCCATAAGGCTGACCAGTCCGAGCACCAGTGCGAATCACGTAAGAGCAGCGAACAGAACTGAGAGACCCTCTACTCTGAGCGTACCACTCACGAAGCTGCTGGGGCGTGAGAGACGCGCGTGGGCGTCGCTGGAGCTGCATCTGGCCGCCGCCAGTAGTAGTAGCAGCAGTAGTGGTAGCACTAGCAGCGCCGCCACCCCTACAACCCCAACCAGCGTACCACTGACGCAGCTGCTGCGGCGTGAGGGACTCACGCGGACGTCGCTGGGGCTGCATCTGGCTCCGCCAGTAGAAGCAGGAGCAGGAGTTGCAGCAGTAAGGTGAGCAGCCAGGCAGGCCGAAAGGCAGGCAGGCAGGCAAGTAGGCGGCGGGCAGCGCGCTAGCTGGGTAGGGGCTCACCAGTGGTGGGAAGAGCAGGCTCGGCGACTCGGCGACTCGGCGGTGCGGGCGGCTCGGGCGGCTCGGCGGCACGGCGGCTCGGGCAACTCGGGCGGCTCGGCGGCAACCGCGGCTCGGCGACTCGGCGGCTCGGCGGTACGGCGGCTCGGCAGCAACTGCAGCTCGGCGGCTCGGCGAACCGGCGGCTTGGGCGGCTCAGGTGGCGCTGCGGTAGCAGCTCGGCGACGCCGGCGGCTCGGTGGTGACAGCGGGGCCGCTTGGGGACGGCGGACAGGGCGGTTCGGGCAGCTCAGTAGCACAACAACAAGGCAACACGGCTGCTCGGACGGCTCAGCAGCAACTGCGGCTCTGCGGCACCAGCGGCTTGGCTCCTCAGGTGGCTCGGGCGGCTCGGGTGGCTCGGGCGGGTCGGGCGGCTCGGGCGGCTCGGCTCCTCAGCGGCTCAGGCGGCTCGGGCGGCTCGGGCGGCTCGGGCAGGTCGGGCGGCTCGGGCTGCTCGGGCGGCTCGGCTCCTCAGCGGCTCAGGCGGCTCGGGCGACTCGGGCGGCTCGGGTGGCTCGGGCGGCGCGGGCGGTGTAGGGCGGTAGGGCCGCTGGTAGGGCGGCGGGGCCGCAAGGTAGGGTCGCAGTGGGAGGGGCGGCGGGGCCGGAATGAAGGGCGGCGGGACCGCCGTGAAGGGCGGCGGGGCCGCTGAGAAGGGCGGCGGGGCCGCAGTGAGAGAGGCGGCGGGGCCGCAGAGAAGGGCGGCAGGGCCGCTGAGAAGGGCGGCGGGGCCGCTGAGAAGGGCGGCGGGGCCGCAGCGAAGGGCGGCGGGGCCGCTGAGACGGGCGGCGGGGCTGCAGCCAAGGGCGGCGGGGCCTCAGTGTGAGGCGGCGGGGCCGCAGGGAAGGGCGGCGGGGCTGCAATGTGAGGCGGCGGGGCCGCAGCGAAGGGCGGCGGGGCCGCTGAGACGGGCGGCGGGGCCGCAGCGAAGGGCGGCGGGGCCGCTGAGAAGGGCGGCGGGGCCGCAGCGAGAGAGGCGGCGGGGCCGCAGCGAGAGAGGCGGCGGGGCCGCAGCGAGAGAGGCGGCGGGGCCGCTGAGACGGGCGGCGGGGCCGGAGTGAAGGGCGGCGGGGCCGCAGTGAAGGGCTGCGGGGCCGCAGCGAAGGGCGGCAGAGCCGCAGCGAAGGGCGGCGGGGCCGCAGCGAAGGGTGGCGGGGACGAATCGACGGGCTGCGGGGCCGCTAGGGCGGCTCGACGAAGTGAGAGCCCGGAGCGCGACTCGGGCAGAGCGCGCTTTGGGCAGGAAAAAAAAAACTCGATGTGGTGGGCCTTAGGCACATTTCCCACGGGGGAACCTGCTCGATACCATGAGGAAATTAGAACGAGAATGAATGCAGTGTGAAAGAGTTGGGTACAAGTGCTAACCCTAATTGGGTTGTACCCCATATAGGCTACCCCACTACAGCCTGCACAAAAGCATAAGCTATAATGCTCTGACAACACGGGGTCGGCGTCGTCGTAGACGGCTTGCATGGTCGTCAGCGCGTGCCAGAGCTCCACCTCCAGGCCCGCCTCCGGCTCAATCGTGGGCTGTCCCGTAGCGCCCTCGGCGTACGTTGGCTCGCTGTCGACGATGGCGACGTACTCTGCGGCCGTCATCGCCGCATTCCCGAGGGCGAGCCCGCTAATAAGCGTCCCGACATCGTCGATGTCGTCGTCGAGCTCGATGTCGGGGTAGACGGCGGGGGTGGGCTCATCGTCGTGTACATGCGTCAGCTCCAGGGACCACGAGAGCGGCAGACACCCCGTGCGCCACCAGCTCCGTTGAATGGTGCGCGCGCCGATGGAGGTCCACGCGTCCGACAGCCACGCGAGGTTATCGCGCAAGTTCGGGCGGAAACGCGCGACGGTGGAAGTCGCGCCGTCGCCGTTCCACAAAGCCGAGAAGGCCCGCAGCCAATGCTGTCGGTAGCGGGCCTTTGCGATGGCTATGATGCCCTGATCGAGCGGCTGCGTAAATGCGGTGGTATTCGGCGGCAGGAAGACGAGCCGCACGTTGCTCGTGCAGGTCGTCCGCATCCCGCAGACGAGCTCGCTCCATGCGAGCTCAGAGCGAAGCATGTGGCTGCTCGCGTTGTCGGGCAGCACTGTGAGGATCTGGGATCGAGCTCAGAAAAGATGATTCAAATTGAATTGAATGATCACCTGGGTACAACACGAGGCTATATATACGCTCGACACAAGGCCCTGTAACCAGGTGTTACGCGAAGGTTCCGCGGGTCGCGAAGCGTCCCGAACAGATCCTTACCGAATTCGGTAGAAGGCAATTCGGTGGCAACCGAAAAGCCAGAATTCGGTGCACGCAACCTAGCTCGGTGCTCTAACTATAATAAAATATAGGAAAGCATCTAGCCTAGGAAATCAAGCAATTCATGCATGCATATGATTATCCTATGCTAGAAATAGCATGATAAAGTAGAGGCAAGCAAGCATAGCTGGCATAAGCCGTCGTACTCTCACAAGCACCACAATCTTGCGACCTTCGGCGTACATCGCAGCATTGAGCTACGATATGAAATGTGTGAATAACTGCAGGGAGGGGAAGGGAGGGGAAGGCGGGATGTACATGGGAACATTGTAAGCACAAACACATTCCAGACAGATGTGATATTACGCGTAATTTGTGCGAAGCATCAAGAACGCACGAAACAATAAAACATGACGAGCTTACCGGCGAGGTCTTCCAGCCTTTCGCGTTGTGCCGCCAGTAGCAAAGGGATTCAGGGTCATAATCCGGGCGGAAGTCATGCGGCCGCTTCGCCTTACTGATCACGAGCGGTCGGAATACGTGGCTCCCGTCAACATTGACGAGGAATGCCACGGTGAGCCGCTCCTTCGATACTTCGCGACCGGGAATGCGGCCGTTGCTGTAAGTGCGCCGAGGGAGAACTGACAGCCAGGGCGCCGTCTCATCGAGGTTGAAAGTGTCCCGCGGGGTGACACCGAGATACGTGAGGAGTTGTGGCAGCTTCTCACGTGCGTGGCGCACGGCGGCCATGTCCGCGCTAGCCGCCTCGCCTTGTGCTGCACGGCACCTCACTCCCTGGCGCCTCAAAGCACGGCGCACCCAGCCGATGGAGCAGCGGAATGTGGGCGAAATGCCCATGTTCCGGGCCATCGTCGCGACATGGTCGCGGATGGTCTGCAGCGTCAGAGGCACGCCAGCGGGACCTTCGTTTGCGATCCACCGCGCCATGGCCTGCTCCAGCTCAGGCCATGCGCCACCTCGACGGCGCACTTGGTTGTCGCCGGTTGCCGTGACAGCCCATCGCTCGGCGCTCTTCAATATGCGGCCGACAGTGGAGCGACCCGGACGCAATCCGTACTGCGAGTAACACCACCTCGCCAGGTCAACATGACGCAGGCGGGGGTTGTCGACGTGGTGCCCGCAAATAGCGCGCTTGATATGGAGCGGGAGCTGCTCCCGTCGATTAAAGCGGGGCATTGTGAGCGGCTGGGGTGTGAGAGAATGCTGACTTAAGTGAATTAGTTGTTCGAATTTTATCGTCACAGGTCGGGCGTGCGGGGCAAGGCTAGGGCCTGTTCTTTGCTGCATGTCACATTTTTGTGGTTGGTGTTCGTTCCATGCACCTGGCTTGCACTTTTGATCGTGTGGTTTGGTAACCACACCCTCGAATGTCTGACGTGGGGTGGGCGAACAACGCCTGGCTGGTAATGCGCTTGTACCTTGCAAGTCCCGAATTACACGTGGCAGCGTGTATCTGACCAAATGCCTGTTACACGCACAACGATCCTTGGTCAGGTGGTGGCCCAGATGGGCGAATGCGTTCACGAAACCATAGTCGTTTCGTCCACTTGTTCGGGACTGCACGTGCATTGATGGCCGAGTCGCGTGTACTGTTGCCAGCCACCCATGTGCTTGTACAGTGAGAGTAGCAAGCAGGGGTTTCCAGCTCGGGGGCAGCGTTTCCATCCGGTGCATGGCAATTTTGCATGCACTGGTCGAGCATCATGTGTATCACGAAACTGTGCGACTAGGCGAAATTTACAGCTGTGCTCATTTGATTGGTTTTCAAACTTGACTGAACACCTGTTTCTTCAACTATCTGGTTCGGGTGGGGTTTTGACGAGCGGAAATTTTTCCCGCGCGAGATTTTTACTGTGGAATGTCCAGGTGCATTGACATTTCGAACCGCGTACGGAGTTTGTTTACAATGACGGGTTGATACGCAACTCGTCCGTGACATCAGCGCGTTTCACGCTGACAAGTTGCACAAGGGCGACACGCGTTTGTGACATTGCATGTTATCAGGGCCTGTGCTAGGATTTAGGGCACCCTGAGCCCTCAGGGCAACTTTTGAAAACTCTCCAAAATGCCCTGATTTTTCAGGGCAAAATTTCCTGGCAATCCTGAAATTTCAGGGCACCAGCAGAAATTCATCCGGATGTTTCAGGGCAAAAAAATACAAGACACTAGAGTGGAGGGGAAGCCACGAGAGGAGCAGGTTGTTCAGTGGTTTCACTACAATGGGCTGAGCAAAAACCTTGGGGGGGGGGACAAAACTAGCACACACACCCCCGAGCCTCCCTCCTCCCCTCTCCCCCTCTCCCCCCCTCCCCTCCACCCCTTCTTCCCCTTCCCATGAGTCAGGGCATCCCTCTACATTCACCCTAACGCTTCAGGGCAAAATCTCACTGCCATTCTGAAATTTCAGGGCAAAACACATGAATCATCCTGACGTTACAGGGTAAATTTCATCGTCATTCTGAAATTTCAGGGCAAACTTAAAACACCATCCTGAAATCAGGGTAATCAGGATGTTGTGCCCTGATATCGTGGGCCCTGCATGTTATAAGCTAGTTTTACGTGCCACAAAGAGAATGGACACAAGTGTCTCCACAAGAACGCACCCTTAAATTAGTTGCCAACATATATATTATCTACATAGCAAATATAGATTATCTACATAGTGAGCTGCTGCATGCATTTCATTAGCGAATTAGCATGCACCAGCTTGCATTTGCCTCTTCCAGCAAATCTGTGAGCATGTATCTGCCTGTGCTGCAGAGTTGGAGCCTCCTCGTAACATATTCCTCCTGCCTCATGATGAGTTAGCAGTGCCATAAGCCACAGCAAGCTGCACGTGGCATCAAGATTGTATCATCATGATCCCCCAAAAGGCCACCCATAATCATAATCCTCAAGTGCCCGCCCACTAGCCACAGCAAGCCTGAAGTTTGCCAGTTTTGATTCCACCCAGAAGCTGCTGTATGCATGCTTTCCGCTAGTGACACATGCACTTGCATTGACGGGGATTGACAGGTGGCCCTCGCGTTGTCAGCAGGCGACAGCTGGCACTTGCTGCTGCTTCAGATACTCCAGTGCCTGCTGCAGAATCAGCGCCTCCTCATAATCCTCCTGACAGTTGGCATGCACCCCTGCGTCCCACACCTGCTTCTGCTGCAGTTTCTGCTTCTGCTGCAGTTTCTGCTTCTGCTGCTGCTGCTGCTGCTGCTGCTGCTGAGCCTGTTTCTCCTTCTGCTCCCTCTGCTGCAGCAACAGTTGCTGCTGCGACTGTACAAGAGTTGACTTGACACCGCATGAACCCCACAGAACATCCTTGGCACAATCCTCCCTGTCAATCCAGTCCCTGTCAGCAGCACAATTTATGTGAGCCCGATAAAAGCCCAAACCGTCAGACGTTACATTATTATTCTGTTTGCCCTGCCAGCCCTTTCCAATATCCTCCACACTCCCCTTCAGAATCGCATCTCCATTGATCCTATCCCAGAAACTCAGGCCCTTCTGCTCCTCTACCTCCGCGCCATTTTCCCTTCCATCATCGCCATCGCGTCCGTCCCCTCCTTTCCTTCCTTCCCCTCCGTCCCCTCCGTCCCATCCCCCGCACCCATCCATCCCCGTTAAGAGCAGCTTCCCTACAGTCCCCTTCGACCCCTCCAGCCCCTGTAAGATCCCCTGCAGAACTCTCTCTCCCTCCCCCGCTTCGATCAAATCCGCCTGTAGCTGAGCCAACCGCCTATAGAGCTCCTCGGTAAAAGCTTTTTCCGAGAGCGCGAGCTCATGTCGAAACCCCCCTGAGTGTATCGCCCTGCCGCCGCGCTTCCCTCCTACAGCTGCTTCTCCTCCCCCCGCCGCCCGCGCCGCCCCCACCGCCGCCGCCGCTGCCGCCGTCTCCTCCTCTGCTTGCAGGAACACGTCTCGCGCCTCGGCCGCCGCTGCTTCTACCTCCCACAGCCACGCCTCCGTACTCGCTACAGACATCTCCACTTGCTGCAACTCCGCCGCGGCCTCTAGACACTCCAATACGCAAGCAGAAGCCTCACCACCGCCACCACCAGCACCAGTGGCACCAGCAGCGGCGGCGCTGGCGGCGGCCGCGGCGGCATGACTTTCCGCCAATGCCTGAATCGCCTCCGCTGGCCGTCTGTCGGTGCTTGCCCGTCTGCTACTCACCATACTCGCCGGAACCGAGAATGAGGCCCTACCCGTGTAGCAGTTACGCGTACCCTGATTTCCGCGGATTCTCGCGATTCCCGCATTCTCTGCTGCCTCTTTGCGCCTGCACACCGATCCTCCTGCGGCGAAACCCGTTTTCCCTGCGCCGATCGTTTCTTCCGTGTCCGCGGCGCTCCCGCCTGCGCACCTGCCCTGCGCGGTGCTACGGCTCCTGCAAATTCCGCGGGGGGATTGCTCGGCCACGTTGCGCGCGCGGACCACCCGTGCGCGCATGCCCGCCAGTTCCGCCATCACCACGCGGACCTGCTCCTCCCGCTCCGCCAGCAATCCGCGCAGCAACTGCAGCTGCGACCCCACCACCCGCGCTTGCAGTTCCGCCAGGTCTAACTGCCCCTCCGCCAATTGCGCGCGCTCCCCCAGCTTCTCCGCCGAGTGCGCGTGCTCCCCTGCGTCCTCCGCCAGCGCGCAATCCGGCGCACGTACCAGGCCGGCAGGCTGTACCGCCTGCGGCTGTAGCGGCGCTACAGACGGCGAGTGCTTGCTGTGGCATTTTTGTCGTTTTTCTAACAAGCAGAGGAAACTGGCAGGCGCGGCCGTGACCGCCGCGGCCGCAGGCGCGGGGGCGGCGGAAGGGACGCAGGTAGAGGCAGTGGTTGGCGGAACCACGTGCGCGGACGCAGTCAGACTGACCCTCAGCGATTGAAAGCGCTCCGACTGACTAGAGCGCTGGCTGAAGGGTAATTGAGTCGCCAGACTCAATTCGCACACCGGCGCGTTTTCCGCTCGAGCGCTGCACTGCGTCACATGCGGCGCTTGCGCCGCTGCTGCCGCGTTCTCCGCCTGGGTCACAATCCGCACGACCCGCTCACACGTCACCGTTTCGTGTTTGGACGCGCGGAGGTCTGTCCTGGATTCCCGCAATGAGGTATGATGGTTATAATCATCCTGGCGATTGGTAGGTTGCGTGCTCGGGGTGTTGCGCGTGCCGCTGGCGCTGCTGCTGCTGGCCCCACTGCTTGCACTTGTGCTCGTGCTCGTGCTGCCGTCTTGCGCGATAAACGCACCACGTCCGGTTATTGCACTCCTTCTGTCCGCGCCGACGACATTACCGCGCGTCGCACGTCGGGTCGTTGTCGTCGTTGTCGTCGTTGTTGACTGTAGCGTCTCCGTTAAAACGTCACCGTGTCGCTTACCCGGCTCTGCGACAGAGTCGCATGTCGCCCTGCGACGAGTCCATCGCTGCCAGACCAGAACCTCGAGCACGCGATTAAATTGCGTCGTGCCGGCGCTCGCGCCGTGCGAAAATACCCGCGGGGGATTTAGGCAAGCCGGCACGAGCCGCGGACTCGGCGGATGAAAGCCTGAACGAAAGCGCGAGGAGTCGTCGCGAGTATACTGACTTGTCGGAGAGGAGGCAGGGTCATCGCGAGGGCTGAAACGCGAGGAGGAAATTGGGTACGGGGACCGCCATGGAAAGCATTGCACGACGGTTGTTGGATATTCGTCGTCGCCTCTGTCGGGGATGGTGAGTCTTTCCGGGGCTAAATCGGCGTCCATTGTTGCATAAATATTAGGAGGTAACGAAGGTAGAAATACGGTGGAAAACTGAAGGTTAAAAGAATGGGAGCCAGGGCTTCGATGAATTATGGAGAATCACCCGAGTTAACGTCCAATTTCTTGACGTCAGAACCCGTTCCTGTGACAACGAGGCTCATAAAACTTGAAAACTAAGCAGAATGACGTGGAAGACGCGTAGCGGTAGCATACAGATGGACAGAACCAGAACAACAAGGCGCTGAAAGATGCAGCTAGCATTACAACAGTCACAACCTAACCCCTCAGTCAGTAAATCTCTTCCACCAGCAGGGATTATCTCTACATGTCAGCTGATCTCCATTCTCGTCCGACGCTGCTGCTGATCTTGTCTCGAAAGCTCTTTTCCTGTCCCAGCTGGTTCGATCCATACATCTGTGAGGATGAAATCCATGGCTTGAAACATGGGTTGT